GAGGCGCGGCTCCGCGGCCGGCTGCACCGCACGCCGCTGCTCACCAGCGCGGGCCTGGACCGCCTGGCCGGCCGACGGCTGCTCTTCAAGTGCGAGCTCTTCCAGAAGACCGGTTCCTTCAAGGTGCGCGGGGAAGGCGGCACGGCCTGCCCCCGCCCCGGGCCGGCCTCGGGGCGAAGGTCGCTTCTTCCACCGGAGAAACTCACTTTCCGTCCGCAGCCCCCAGCCCTCGAAGCAGACGTGGCTTCTGCCACCCTGCACGGGGCTGAAGCACTTCCAGGGCACGGGGGAGGCTCCAAGGAAGAAGATTCCCCACCTGCGCTCTCCTTCCAGATCCGCGGTGCCCTGAACGCAGTCAGGAGTCTCGTTGAGGAAAGCGAGCGCGATGGAGCGGAGCTGCCCCGGGCTGTCGTGACACACAGCAGCGGGAACCACGGGCAGGCGCTCGCCTGTGCTGCCCAGGCCGAAGGTAACAAGTACCCCAACTTCCAGCCCCAGTGCTGGGCTGGGGTAAACACAGAGCTGGTTCCTGGGCAGAGGCTCTGCCAGTCCTGGAGATAAGCAGGGGTGTCTCTCTCTCCTGAACTCCTGCAGGAGCTGGCATAGACAAGACAGAGCCTGCTCCTGCAGCGCTAACTGGCTCCTTGCAGCTTTCTGGCTGTTGGATTTGCCTCCTCTTTTGTCACACAGGGATTCCTGCCTATGTGGTGGTGCCCCAGACAGCCCCACACTGTAAGCAAGCTGCCATCCGCACCTACAGTGCCACGCTGGTGCTGTGCGAGCCCAGCGACAAGGTAAGGCACAGGGGAGAGCCGCCAGGGACACGGCCCAGCCAGACCCAGAGGTGACCATCTGCACTTTCCCTTAGTCCAGAGCAGAGACAGCATCTCGTGTAGTCCAGGAGACAGGAGGCATCATGGTGCACCCCAACCAGGAGCCAGCAGTGATCGCAGGGCAAGGCACAATCGCCCTGGAGGTGTTGGAGCAGGTGAGTTCTGCTCCTTGTAGGCAGGGGCACAGCAAAAAGGTGTACTTCAGGTGCCAGAAGCACTCATGCTTCCTTTTCTGCATAGGCCCCTGAAGTAAATGCAGTGGTGGTTCCTGTTGGAGGCGGAGGAATGATTGCAGGAATAGCAGTTGCCATCAAGGTAGGCAACAGCTCATCCAGGAAATAGTGGCTACATCTCCTTGAGGGAAGAGCAGGGCTCCCAGGACAGGCAGCACCTTTTCTGTTTAGAATATAAGAGACCCTGCTCTGACAATCTCTGGGTGCCTGGGCTCTGCACAGCAGCAGGGTCTGCTTGGCCCCCTGGGCATGAACAGGCACACACTAGGCTCAACAAAGTGGCTCCTTCTTCTCCCCGCAGGCTCTGAGACCAGATGTGAAAGTGTTTGCTGCTGAGCCACGCAATGCAGATGACTGTTACCAGTCCAAGGTGAGAGGGGAACTGACCCCCAACCTTCACCCGCCAGATACCATCGCAGATGCAGTTAAAACCAGCATTGGACCAAACACATGGCCCATCATCAGGGATTTGGTTGATGATGTCCTGACAGTCTCAGAGGAAGAAATCAAGGTAAACGCTCCCAGCTGCCTTCTCTCGGTAGCTGCCAGCAGGCAGCTGCCTCCATCCACGCTCTGCCCTTCCATTCTCACCCCTCCACTCTCCCAGGGCAGCACAAGCCCCTGCACACCACTGCAGCTGTGCAACACCCACAATGTCTCCAGCTGGAAAGGGCTGGCGGAAGCTCTGCTCTCCCTTCCCAGAGTGCTGCAGAGAGATGTGCACACGCAGTGCCCTCCGCAGCCCCGGAGCAGCCTGTACTTGCTGCTGGGATGACAACTGCTGTTCTGTCCCGACAGCGAGCCACGCGGCTGGTGTGGGAAAGGATGAAGCTGCTGATTGAGCCAACAGCGGGCGTGGGAGTGGCGGCCGTGCTCTCGGAGCAGTTCCAGGCAGTCCCCAGGGATGTGGAGAATGTTTGCATCGTGCTGTGTGGGGGAAACGTGGACCTGAGCTCCCTGACCTGGCTCACAGACCTCCCTGGGAAAGCGGAATGAGAACAGAGCAGTGTCTCAAGCAACGGAAACCTCACTCTGAATTTGTAGGGTCTAGTTTGTGCGCTACTAAAAACAGATGAACAACCCCAAACGTTCAGAAGTTTGTGTGGAGGGACAAGGGATGCTGGCATTAGTCTGTACAGCAGAGAGTCACTTGGTTCCACAGCAAAGGGTTGTTAGTGGGGGGCCTGGAAACAAAGCACTGTCTTGTTCTCCCCAACTGCCCTGCTCTGGGGCAGGCCTCCAGTGAGCTGCACTCACTCTCCCCAGCTGCTACTTCACCTTTCTTATCACAGTAACTTCCAGCAAACTCCTGCCCTTGATAAAGCAAAATCCTCACACACACCACTGTGGCAGGGCACATGGAAAAGACAACAACCTGAGTGGGCCAAGGGGTTCACTAGACAAGGGGTGCACACAGGGCCCTTTGGCCTCCACAGCTGGCCATCACCAAGACAGAGGCACCAAGATATTTTTAAAAACATTTTCCATTAAAATAAATAGCTATAGCTTGATACCTGAGCAGTAGCTGGTGAGACAACTGCCCCTGTACAGACCCCAGCAGTAATACGTCCAAGATATCGGTGCTGCCCTCACAGCACGTGGGACGAGAACAGCATCCAGAGAAAACTGCCACGCTGGAGACTTACTCCATTTCCACCTCCTCCACTGGCAGCACGCTCTCACTCCTCACCCACGGCACGGGCTCTGGAACATGAGGGTCATAAGTCCATTTAGGAAAAACTCTCTTGTAGAGGTTCAGCAGTACCGTGTCCTGGGACTTGAGCTGTCCATCAAAATGGCACTTCATGTGACCATGGGTCCCTAGGCAGAGAGCAGAAGAGGCCATTAGCTGTCTCCTGTCCAGGAGGTCCACATCCTGCCCAGCATCAGAGATAAATATCAAATCAAACCTACCTAACGGCTCCTTGATGTGTCCTCTACGACCCCATTTTGTCCTCAGCTCCACTGGCTTGAACCACATCACATCCTCTGGAGATCAAAACATGAAAGGCGGGTAAAAAACAGGCTTTGCTGTACCAACACAACTGCTCCCACAGGGACAGAAGTCCTGCTTCCACGTCCCCTCTTCCCACCACACCGAGACAAGCCGTACCTCTGTTAAAGAACATGTATCGCACAACAGCTGTCTTGGTAAAGATTTTGAAAGGATGGCCACTGAGCACCAGCCGCTTGATGACGATTCTGTCCGGGTCCACGGAAAGCAGAGAACCCGTGGCAATGAGGTCATGTATTCCTGCAAGGCAGAGTCACTAACATATAGGACAGTGCCACAGAAGGTGCCTCCATCACCTCCTTCCCCACCACAACCCCTTTCCTCAAATGGTTCCAGACCCAGAGCAACCCTACAGCAGGGACAGACAAAGGTGCCAGGAATATTGGGGTTAGAAACGTGTTAATCTCCTCAAGTAACATGAAGGAGACAGCTTTTTCAAGTCACACTTCCTGCAGAGATGCACTTTTAAGTGGAGTATGGGAATGGCCTGCTAATGTTTGTTTCCCAGACACCACCTCCTCAGCAATTATCAACTTACCATTACTTCTCTGTTTAAAAAGAAGCACCGAGGCAGGAGGGAAAGTGATGGGAGCGTAAACAGTCACCACCAGGGCAGCATCCGGGCGCAGGAAACGCTCCAGCTTGTGCTTATCAGCTAGGACAGAACAGCAATGATCAAGATCAGGCCAACAGCATTCCTCAAAGCTCTGGGAAACCCCACTGAGCCCATTTGTCCCTGGCAAACAGGCTCTGCACTTAAGGAAAACGGGTGACAAACATCCCTCCTCTGCCAGGAACAAAGGTGATCCTCTGAGCTACCAGCTCACTGCATGGAACCTGCCACCGCCTTGCCTGGAGCAGCAAGCCACCTTGCCCAAGCTCTTCCACTACCCATTATTTAGTGCCTTCCCTGGAAGCCTCAGAGCCTAAGAGTGAGTCTTCAGAAGCGTCCTTCAGCCAGGTTCAGACACCACGGCTAAAACATCACAGGCTTCCTGCCCTAGAAACCCCAGCCCCATCTTCTGGCATGCCCATGCCCACCCACAAGTCCTTCACAAACCTGAGGTGTGCTGGGAGAACAGGGGTGATGCTCGGAAGCGTCTGAACCCACAGTGAAAGATCAGCTCCTCCTTTGCCCTCACTGGCTCGCTGTTACTCGGATGCCGACGCACCAGGAAATTCAACACGGACATCTGCAAGAGAAGCAGCACTGTGAGGGGCAGACAGAGCAGAAAGCAATGAGATGTTGCAGCAGAGATGAATGCCCTTGACAACGGCTACCCAAAGGACTGCTGGTCACCAATGCAGACACCTCAGCCAGGCTCAGACACTCTAGCCTAAACACTCCTGGCAGCTTCAGCCTGCTCTGACCAAAGGGAAGGCCCTATTTTGAAATGCAAGTAATGCAGGGAGATTTCAGCCCAAACCCTCTGCAGCCAGAACCTCTTCAAGCCATGTAGACTGAGGGAATCAGACAAGGAGCTGCACACCTAGAAGGTATTGGCAGGGCTACACATAATCACCTTTTGTTCGTGAGGAAGCAGCGAGAACAGGACTAGGTGCTTCCCTTCTTTGAAGCTCTCCATCACCGAGACAGGGACATTGCAGATGTGAAGTGTAACGTACCATCCAACCTGCCAAGAAGAGAGGATCAGTTGTGAGTACTTCTCTCAACAGTCATAAGTTACATGTGCCTGGGTTAGAGAGGGAATCCAGGAGAATTATCATCTGAACTCATGGTTTTCATGAGTTCATGAACCAGCTGGCTGAGGAGATCCACCCAGCCACCACCCCAAGTCTTTCCGACTAGGAGCAAGGGAACACAGCAGGGGAATTGATCAGCAAGAGAAGAGGGAGTTACCGAGGCTCCTTCAGTCTCCTCTTTCTCTATTTGCCGGAAGAGGTGCTTTCTGGTTCGGGAGAAGTGCTGGAACTGGAAAATCCTGGCATAATCCCTTGGGAGATTCTCTTTAGGGTCCCACGGAGAAGTCCGGAAGCTCTTCAGCCCCCTGTACTTCTGGAACCTAGAAAACAGAGAACAGGAAAGACAAACTACTTCACCAGTCAAGGGGTGTGGGCAGCACCTTCTGTGGTCTGCATGGACTCACTCCTTCAGAGAGAGCAAAGGGAGCAAAGCAAATGTTAGCTCTTTGTGCAGAGAGAACTAGAAACAGCATCCAAGTTCCCAAACAACCTGCCTTTCCATCAGGGCTCTACCATCCTCCTCTCTCCCAGGTCAGGACCCAGCTCTCCCCGCCACAGGGGGCTACCCAGGCCCAACCAATGGCTCCCCCAACTAGCGGCTCCCCTGGAAGCCTCAGAGCCTAGGAGTGAGTCTTCAGAAGAGTCCTTCAGCCAGGTTCAGACACCACGGCTAAGACATCACAGGCTTCCTGCCCTATCTCACCAAACTAGCCAGAAAAGCACCTTCCACCTCCTCTCCCAGCAAAGCATCCTGTTTCTTACCGGACTCTGGCAGGTATGTCACGTGGTGTGTCCACCTCATCTGGAAACATTTCATCCATTCTCTCCTGTTTGTATTTCTCCAGCATCTGTTCATCTTCCTCCATCTTCTCGTCATACTGGTCATCCCGCAAGCACTCAGAAACGGTCATAGTCTCACACTCCTCCTCTGCAGGTTCCTCTTCCTCCTCACTGCTTTCCCCCTCCTGACACAAAGGACAGCACAGAGCCCATGAGCACAGACACTCTGTTGGTGCCCCTGAAGCACTGCAAACCCTGTATGTACTCACACCGTGTGAATCGTGACCCAAGCTACACCACACTCCCTCAGTTCAGTATCTAACGGGTCAAAACAGGAACATGATACATGTGAGGGATTTAACAACGGAAATTCAGGTGAGTCCTGGCTCTGTGTTGTGCCTTTGGATGGAGCAAGGCGGAAGGATTGTCCTAGAATACACAATAATGCCCTGGAGACCACCTGCAGTATCAGCTCTTAGAAGTACCTGGGAAACTGCCTCTTCCATCATATCATCATCATCATCATAGATGTCATCATCTTCATCACCATCTTCATCTTTCTCACTGCCTTCATCATCCACAATCCAGGCAGCCTGGTACTTTGATGTGCCTTTGGGGACTTTCACCACCCTCCTGTTTTCCTTCAGAGAAGCTGTAGGGTTCCCACCAACAGTTAATACAGGAACAATTCTCCTTTCCCATTTACACATTTATACCAGCAGAGCCAACATCAGCTCTAGCTGTGTTTCCCAGCACAGAATTAGCAAGGGCCCAGAAAAGGCAGCTAAAATGTAACCCTGCTAACTGCCAGGCAAACCAGGCAGCCTGCTCATAAGGTGATGGGGCTGGGAATGGAAGCCCCAGGCACCCAGCTAGCATGTTTCCTCACCACCATCCTCAGCCATTCCAGCGACAGAAGATTTTTAACAACCCTCTTGACAGGGTCAAGGTAAAGGTACAGAAGTATTGCTGCTACTCACCCTCTGCTTCTTGCAATTCTTCTTCAGTAGGCCAAGTCTGCTCCCCTTCCATGGGATCAGGAACCACTTCTGACTGCAAAGACTCCTGCTTGCTTGGATCTGCCTTCATCAGGACCTTAACATCTTCCTCCATCTCATTGGTACCATTTACAGAGTCATCCTGAAGGCCAAAAACAGAGTTCCCAGCTGTGAATACATCTAACTCAAGCTAGCCATCAGTCTGAAGCAAAACTCCCCTCAATATCAGGAACGTTGTGTTGTAATGTAATGTTCCCGTTATATGCTATGGGCAGGGAATCTCAGCTCAGTGGCAGAACACAGGCCTACTGGCTCTGATACAACTCCCCTTCTCCTTCCCTTGACCACATACAGCCAGTTGTATTTTCCCAATGAAAGTTTAGAAACATCATGTTCTAACAGGCCCAGCAAAGCACTGAGCTCCCACGCACCTGTACCTCCATGTCCTGGCTTCTCTTTTGTCCTTTAACCACTCGGGGGTTTAAAGAGAGGGGGTCAGGGGGGGCATCCACCTGGCTCATCTGGAAGTCTCCATGCCCCACAATATGCACCAGGCTGTTCACATCGAGGGTTTGTCCCCGGACAAAGCCAGACACCTTCAGGGTGCCAACCAGGTCGCTCTCTTGACCAGGCACAAACTCGGCAGCATAGGCGAGCAGGTGAGCCCGCCTGTCCCGAAAAGCGAGATGCCGCTGCTTCTGGGCAGCGAGGTGCCTCAGCAGCAGTGAGGACTCCTGCTCCGTGTTCAGGGGGAAGAGCTTGGCCTCGGGAAAGCGCTTCTCAACGGCTTTGGCAAGTTTCTTCCTGGCGTCTATCCGCTTCTTCGGTGGCAAGTCAGTGCCCCCTGGGACAGCAAGAGCTACCAAGCAGTGCACAGAACAGAGTTCAGGATCAAATTAAACCTTCTTGTACTCTTTTTACCAAGCACTGACAAACACCCAAATATGAGTAACCCAAATAACCAGATTCATACCATAAAGGTGTAGAAAAGAACACACTGGACAAAAAAAACTGTCTCCAGAGATAAAATTTTGAGACTAAATGAGACCATGGAGATAAGGGTCCAGGAACCGAATTTAGCAAGAAAGTGTCTGAATCCCTTCACTCTCCAGGCCCTGAAAACCAATCCAATACTGACACCACCAGAGGTCAAAACCTACAACAGTCTCCACAGGTCAACATTCTCGTTTCAGCTGGGAGAGAGTTAATTTTCTTTATAGTAGCTGGTACAGTGCTGTGTTTTGGATTGTTTCTAAGGATTATTCAGTTTCCCAAGCTCTGCCAGCAAGCAGGTGTACAAGAAGCTCGAGGGCTCATGGCCAGGAGACCTGACCCCAACTAGCCACAGGGCTATTCCATACCATAGGACATCATACTCCGTATATAAACTGGAAGAAGTTGGCTGGGGAACGGATTGCTGCTTGGTCAGCAGGCAGTGAGCAATTGTGTTGTGCAACATGTATCTTTACTTGGGTTTTATTTTTCTCTCTGTATTTTATTATATTAATTTTCATTACTATATTTTTTATTATTACTGTTGTTATTATTACATTTTATTTACCAAACTCTTTATCTCAACCCATGAGGTTTACTTTTTTTTTCCCATTCTCATTTTTTCTTATTGTCATTTTATTTGTTTATTTTTATTCTCACTTTATTTATGCAAGAAGCAGAGAGCAAGCAGCTGTGTAGTACTTAGTTGCTGGCTGGGCTTAAATCACAACAGGTCACAACACAACAAAGCAGCATGAGAATGACAATCACCCAGCCAATCTATGCTCAGAAACAGAGCAGTCAGAGTTCTGTGATCACCTTTTAACATCAGTAGCTTTTAATTACTGCAACAGTAAATCCTCATCAAGCACCCTCTCAACTTACACCCCACTAGAAGCTGTGAACATTTCTCACTCACTCACCATAACTGGGGAGCCCCTGTGCGAAGAGGCAGGAGAGGCAGTGCTCCCCTGCACCGTCCAAGCCATCTGCAGCATCCAGGATGAAGAGCAGGGAGTCAGCAACTTTTGCCAGGTCTAAGACAGCATGAAGGTCCCCTGCACACAAAACAGCTCTGTCACTGGGGCTGCCAGGGGTACGGAGCCAAAAACCACACACCAACAGCGTTTCCTCACCCGCCTGGGCTGTCACAAAGCGCCAGCGCTGCTTGAGTCGAGGACAGAGGAGCACAAAGCCACCAGCTCTCCCCTCATCCGAGTGAACAACAGCCGAGTCCTGGCTCTGCAGCAAACGGAGCGTGTCGTGGGCTGCAGCCTTGCTGTGCAGCGGCACCAGAACCACTAGGTGTGGGGGTCCATCCCTGCTGCCCAAGCTCCGCTTCTCTGCCAGCACCTGTGGGCACAACTGCAGAGCATGAATACCGCCCCCCCCATCAAGGCCGGATCCCACCGCAGCTCAACCCGAACCCACTCGGTACAGTAACGCTTCGCATGCCCCAAACTGAACTGGATTCAGACACCCATTCCTCTCCCCGGCCCAGCTCCTGATCCCCCCGCGAAGACCCAAAGCGGCTCGAACCCCACAGACACACACCCGCACCGGCCCCACTCCCGCTCACCACAGCCCCCTCGCAAAGCCCCGAACCGCCCCGTTTCCCGCTCCCCCCCCC